TACCCTCCTCTGCTGTCACTGCAGACTGGCAGAGTTGCCTACAGAGCACCACTAATAGCCTGTTAATGAAGTAATGTTCTTTTCAGGTTTCAACCACTGCCCCTTGTAGCTCAATTTCAAGCGGCAAGGGTAAAAATATGGAATTGGGCCAAAGTGTCACCATTTTATAAAAAAAAAAACAAATAATAAAAAAATGGACCACAAGATCCATGATGTGATCTTGTTTGCATGTAACTGATTCTTCAGAGCGTTCTGCTGATGACCAAGCCGATGCTGCACGATAATCACGTTCTAGAAGAGCAGCTATGTGCGTGCTAAAAGAACTCTGTGCAGACTGCTGGAGACAGTCAGAACTTACTTGTGAAAAGGTTAACAGAATGTCCATTCTCCACACTGCATGGTCATGCATCGCTACAATTCACATTTTCAAAGTTTTACATTGTGATATCACAATGCATTGCGGTAATGATGCATTATTACACCTTATGTGAATAAGATATTCTCATGCATTTGGAAACGGGAATTTGTTTCATGCACGTTTGTTTTTGTTGTAGCCCAGTTTTAATAGTCTCCTACCCTTACAAGTCATAAAAACGCAGCAGTCTGTGGTTAGTCACTTAATATGTCAGTTCAACGGCCCCTTCCTGTCAATTTAAGCAGTTCTTGCCTACTTGGAGTAACAAAACCCACCAGTCTGTCCCGTAGCTCTGAGGTTCAAGTGAGACATGTATTGGGCTATTTTTTTTTTGTTGCAGGCAAAACAAATTAAATAGAACCAATTTTGAGTAGCATTTTACTAATCTGAGTCGATCCCTAATTAGAAACGGAGAAAATTCTGGAAAAAATACATGCCTTTGTGCTTGTGTGTTTGAGAGTGGATGAAGTGGTCCCACTGAGGGCTCTATAATGGGACAGTGTCAGGACCGAGTGTAGTCAGCACCACTGCGAATATGGTGCTGGAGCAAAAACCCCGACACAGCACACAAAAGAACATCATCAGGAGAAAAGAGGAGTGTCCCTGCAACAACCAGCCCGACAACAGCTTCATCAGCTGATCCAGCTGAGGCAATTACGACCAACATCCCGCGGCTTCGGACACAGAGCTGTCCACTGTGTATATGAGCAGCCTGTGGGTGTGGTCATGTATGGCTTACTCGAGAAATTCAATACCCATCTGCAACTTAATGGCTATGCAGATAACCTTAAACAGAGACTGTCCGACAACACTGTGCAGAAGCTTTAGATCTGTTGGATCATGCGAATGACTGGATTCAACTCCCACAGAAACATGTGTGATCGTGATTGGTCATGTGTTCACAACACGCAATTGTGATGTCACAATTAAAGATTAATTTGCATTATGATGCCTTCTGCTATACCAATTTCATGAAGGCAAATATGGTGATAACGATTAGCAAATGATGTCTGTACAGTCTTAATAAGTGCTAAAGCCCAAACAACTAACTAAAAATTTCATTCTAAAGACTCAAAGTACAATTGTATACTGAAATTTGAATAGCCCTGGTCAAATTTAGTTTTGCTGATTTTCTAACTGAAAATTAGTTAACAAATCCTCTACAGAGAACAAGCATTTTTCTGAGAACTTTAGTGCACAGTTTCTATTTACTTTAACATATTGGAAAAAATAAAACATATGTTTTATCCCAATATGTTTAATTCTAATACTTTGCTTTACGTTTAATTTGACAAAGACTAAGCTTCAACTCACATGCAATGACTTTGCTCCCACATCCACTTCAGTTGGTCCCAAAATTACTGGAAGAAAAGGTGTTACTATTACTATTATTATTATTATTATTATTATTATGATCTGCTGGTGCTTCTAGACAAATGATCAGAGATGCTCCTGGAATCCTGGAAGCATCACCAGAAGGACAGAGCTAATAATAATAATAATAATAATAATAATTATACATATAATATTAATGAAACACTTCTTCGTCCAGTAATGTATAGACATTCGTAAAAGAAGCAAACACATTGATAGTGTGTGAGTTGAAGCTTACTTTTTCAAACAGCACAGTTTAGTGAGTTGTGGTGGTTGTGCACTATCATCTTTAATTTGGCCACAAAACTGTCACTAATCTGGTAATAAAGAACAGAATTGTGGATGTCAAACTTTATTGTCCAATGCCTTGGTGTCTGTAGCTCCTTAGCTTAGCCTACGAGAGCTGAGACACAGCAGGACCTTTCCCCAGTGCTGTTTTGTCTGATGTGTGAAACCTGACGCTGGTCTGAGGATATACTTAACATACATTGTATAGATGGCTTTTTGTACAGTCATGATATCTGCCTATAGCACTGAACCAATTCAACCAGTGCAGCTCAACAGCTACATTTTTAGAACGAAACTCTTCTATGTTCGGTGCAATAAATGTGGTACTAATGTGAGACATCATACCACTCAACATGTTTAAAAGTTCAGTTATGTTCATGTGGGAATACTAGTGTCTATTATTTGCATGAAATAAATCAATTAATCAAAAAATAGTTTTTTTTCTACCAGAAACAAATGGTAGATTTGGTGGTTTTTACCACCACCTGGGGCTGTTACCACAGTAACATGGTAAACCATCATCAATTTACTCCAAAAGCACAACTGCTAGCACATCTCACCTTAACAGCCAAACATAAGTCCATTCAATCATCAAAGGTCATGTAAAAATAGCTCAGTGGGCACATGACAACCTCAGGACGGAAATAAGGTCACGGAAAAATAGGACGTTCATTAAATTCTTCAGCTACAAATAAACTCCTTAGAGAGCATGCAGCTTTCTGTTTCCGTTCTCAGAGACAGAACGAAAGGAGTACAGCGATGCGTTTAAAGAAAGTTCTGACATGCCAATGATATTCAAAGAATTTCCATGTGAATAAACACCCTTAAACTGCATCATAAGGGTCTATTAAAAAATTATAGCCCTTCATGATAAGTACTTGACCCTGTTCTGATCAGTTTGAGTTTGAACTTCAAAGAAACTGCAAGCTGTCTCTCAATGCTCATTACAGTCTGGCTGAAATATGTAAACTGTGGCACAGCAACCACAGAGACCCACCTTCAAAAGCCATCAGATTGGCTTTCAATTTCTGAAATCTGGCCAGTTCAATAGTTATTTTAGGGATTTAGTCAAAATCGAGAAGACAAAATCCCTCGGGCTAAAGCCGCCACGTGCTTCTGTGTTGTCTTTAGAGCATCGGCACTGTATGCAGAACTAGATACGTTACAAAACGAACAGCCTGCCTGAAACATATTCTACCACCCATTTGCATTTTTTCACTTCCTTATTTACTGCAGCAACACAACAATGAATGAATGTCTTGTATTAAACATTGCTGAACAATGAATGAACATGTTTAGGATGAACTGCAAATTTCCGTAATTGCATCATTTGTTAACTCTGTCTCTTTAAGCAGCGTGTGTGGCACTGAATATTTGTTCTGTAGACTATATCATCTGAATGCTTTGCTGTACATTTAATATAGGATTGCTTTCAAATACAGCATGAGGTCAGGTACTATGGGACATTATGTTATACAGGACAGTATGCTACAACAGTGAGTTAGGTCATACGGGACCACTGCATAGCCATATTTTTATTCATTTTTCCTGTAAAAATCACTTCTGTAATATAATGAGCCTATTTACAGTATTTCTCTTTGCTTATTTAGACAGAATCCATTATTATAAATCAGCTAATAACTGCAATACACAAGTTTCTTAAAGTGTCCTCTAGTACCTGACAGGCTATATAATGCACAAATCCAGCCTATAAGAAATGGTCTCATTTCTATAATAGGAATGTAGAAGCATAAGTTTTTATATTTGTAACAGGAATGCTTTGCCTTTAATATGTGTTTGGTTTCTATGAGTATCGTTGACCAAAACTGTGTAGACATCTCTCTGCATTAAGCTGCAAAATGATCATTTGAATAGTAAAAGCCTGCAAAAGGTGCACAAGTCCTGTGCAGCCAGGACTGACATTTCAATCATTCCACAAAAAGCAGCACAAGCAATGAAGTAAGAAAAACAATGCAGAAAAATGTGCAGGCATTAGTGAGTTTTCTGCCACTCACTCCACAAAAAGCTTCAAAGAAGCAACAGATGCAATACAAAGTCTGCAGAAACAAAGGGTGCAAAGATGTATAGCTGTTGTTTCTGCAAAACTGTGAAGGAACATTAGCTATACTCCACATAAAGCTGCAAAATCATAACAGCAAAAAAAAAAACTGCAGATGCCACTCATATTTCAAACATTACACAAAAAGCTGCAAATCAATAAAAAAGTATTTAGGGATCACAAAGATGTTTCTATTTTGTTTTCTACTCATGAGAGAAAAGGTTGAAAACAAAATGGTGCAAAATTTGCAGAAAGTGTGCAGAAATAAGTGATGTAAAAGAAGCAAAATTGTGTAGACATACTGACATTTCTGTAAATTAGTGATGCACCACAGTGCAGATGTTTAGCTGATGTTGATGCAAAACTGTGCAGAAACATCAGCTACACTCCACATAAAGCTATAAAACCATAATGTTAGTAATAAAAATTATATAAAAACAAAACTAGAAACATCACTCATCTTTCTACAATTCTTTAAAAGCTGCAAAGACAAATAAAAATAATCAGCAATTTAGGCATAATAGAGGTGTTTCTGTCACTCATGAAAAAAAGATGCAAAAAATGGTGCAAAAAAGCAGAAAGTGTGCAAAAACAAGTGATGCAAAAGATGTAAAGCTGTGTAGACCTACTGACATTACTGTGGCTTTATGATGCATAACTGTGCAGAAACGTCAACTATTAGCTATAATAAAAAGTACTGGGGTGTAATGATGTTTCTGTCACTCATGCCAGAAGAAATGGTGCAAAAACAAGTGCTGCAAACGATGCAAAACTGTGCCGACGTATAGCTGATGTTACTGTCATTCCCTGCACGCAAAGCTCTCGGTGCCTTGGGGCTAGAGGGCTGGGGGTCTTCGCGCTTACCTCGCCAGCTGATGCGCTCCTCTCTGGCAGATCTTTCTTCAACAGCGCGGACGGACGGACAGACAGACAGACGGACTTCAGCACTGGTCGGCTCGAGACGGCGAGCAGCCCAAATCTCAGCAGAGGTGGCGCTCATAAAAGAAGCAGCAGCCGCCGCGCGCAGAGCTCCACAACCCCCAGAACCCACAGCCCACCAGCAGCAGCAGGCCGAGCAGATCCGGCTGGAGAGAGAGAAACAGACATGACGGAGGAGTTCTCCTCAACTTCCCTCACACATTCTCTCACTCTCTCACATCCACACACACACAGAGACGGAGCGGCGCGCGCGGCTGGACGACAGAGTGGATGGAGAGAGAGCCAAGAACAAAAATTAAGTCAGCAGAGCCAACAGATCATTCTGTCTTCCGTTCTCTCCGTCAGCGTTCAGGCAGCCGGCTCCGGCAGCGGCGCGCAAACTTGCACCAAAACCGCGTCAACATTAAAGAAATCACATTCACTAAACCCCCAGAATGCAGTCATTAAAATTCCTCTCTCGTTCGTCTTCGTCTTGTCATCCCCCCCTCACAAGTCCCAACACAGACAGCGTGGCTGAGACAGCGCTGAGCGAGCGGCTCCCTCAGACAGTCCGCGTCGTCAGAGCCGCGTTTCTGTCCTGCATACCGTCTCTTTTTGTGTGTTTGTTCAGTATCAATTCTCTCGGCTCTCCGGCTGCATATGCTCCCTCCACACTGAACACTACAGCCCCTTCATCCTCCTGCAGCCCGGAATGACGAGGAGCGAGCAGCCAATCAGAGCACGACTTGAGTTTTCGTTCCATTCCATACCCGTTTTCATAGAAGCCCCGCCTCTCCTGCGCTCGGATTGGCTAGCAGTGTTCGTGTCTAGCGCAATGATTGGCTAGTTAGTTCAGCTTCAATCAACTCTGTGCTGCACATACAATATACACTTTTATGGCTATTTCGGCAACGATTTCTAATATATTAAATTTATTTTTTTTAACTATAACCATGTTGTAATGAATTTGATACATATTGTAATTTGTGATTTTACACTATCTAATATGTGAAAAACACATAAACCCCTGATTGACACATTCGTGATCCTTGATGACTAAAGTTTGGCCGGCATATTTTTGGACCAACACTATTTAAAATCACCCACAAAACCTGACAATTAACAGATGAGTGTAATCAGTTGTGGTTGAGCAGGTAAATCACCAAACTGTGCCAGACACCCGCCCTCCAGGACCGGAGTTGGGCACCCCTTGCTTAGACCAACAGAAATCCTCACATGGAAATTCTGATATATTATTGTTTGCACACAATAATATATTTTAGTAATTTTAGTTTGTCAGAGGTCTGTTTTGCATATATGTATATGCACATATAGATACGCACACACACACACACACACACACACACACACACACACACACACACAGTTATTTACACATAAAAAAAAATATCGATGGTATATTTTATATACGCATAGAAAAATATTTTCAAAGCGTGTTAAACATCATCTGTTTTATATTTATAAATATAGTTGAAGAAAGTGTATGGACTAATGCCCAATCATAGCGCAGGAGGCGGGGTTTTCCGGAAAACGGGCATGAAAAAAAAATAAAACGCCTCAGCGCTCTTGGTGTCTGTGCGGCTGCTCTCGGTAAAACGTGGGAAGCTTTCCTGCGGATTGGAGTCTGAATGACAGACATGCAGAGACGGAGGGCCGGGCAGAGGAATGACGGCCTGACAGCTTTTATGAAAGAGTCGAACTGTGAAAAAAATCACGAACACATTTTACGTCTATGTCAAGCTAATATGCTGACAGTAAAAAACGAGAGAATTAGTCCAGGCAGACCATGAGGTAGTTACAGTTTTCTGTGTTGTTATCTTGAGATCACAACTTAATAATTGTGATCTCAAGATAACAAAAGTTGTTTTCTCAAGATCACAATGTATTTGTCCTGTGATCTAAAGATAAGTTGTGATCTCGAAAAAACAACCAATTGCCTTGAGATCACAAGACAATTAAGTCGTGATCTCAAGATAACAATCCATAAAACTACCTCTTGGTCTCTCTGGGTTTCAGTATGTGGGAAAGAAATTGAATCAGCATTTGTACTTCAGAGTTTGGAAATTGTGCTCTAACACAACAGTATTAAGCCTGAAATCAATGATTGAATACTACACATTTATTCACAGTAGTTCACTGTTCTCCTGCATATTTAATATAGAATTCAAGTGAGTTTGGAGGTTTCAGACATCACAGGTAGACATGCTACAGTCTTTAAACTTTGAACCTTAAATAGCAAACATTTTAATTGTTTTGTTATTTTAATTAAATAAATTCACACACATGCAACTGCATATTTGCAAGCATGTATTGTCTAGCTATATGAACTACTAATGCAAAAAACAATAATCTATTTGAACCCAAGGTATTAATTGAGATAGTAGTAAACTAAATGTATATGTAAAATCATCATTTATTGGGTGTTTTCTATTGGGAAGAAGCTGTACTAGGCCCTAACCTAAATTTCTACTTGTGAAAATAATACTTAATAATATAGTTATGAGAAAATAATACACTTTTTTCAATGTTGTTTTGTAAAAGATCTTTTTGATTTATTTTAATGTTGAAAGATTTTGATCTTTCATGAGTTAAATTTTTAATTTAAAAACATTTTAAAAATGCTGTCCCACATTTTCATGTCACTATTGAAACACAAAGAGTCCATCAATGCTGTTAACTACCTTTGTATGTCCATATCCACCTACTGCAGGCCCTGTATTAAGAACAGCGGCCTCACAGCAGGACTTTATGGAACTGGAAGCATTTGAAGATAAAACAAAGGCACACTATGGTAAATCTAGTTTTAGCTTGCTTGCTCACAATGTTTGTGCTGAGTAGTTTAAAAAGTTGCCAATTACAGCATGAACTGTGATAATCACATATGTCCTGTTAAGTTTACAGTATTGCCTCAGAAGCTCCTCTGTACCTATGGAGTTATGGAATTGAACAGTGTCCTTTGTTTCCACACAGACTTTTTCTACACACTTAAAAAAGATCAAGAGTTCTTTAGCAAAGAGTATAGAACCATGAGCACTCAATGAGCCCTTTTCGTGATTAAAGGGTCCTTAGCATGGTGAAACAGTTCTTCAGATTAATTAAGAATGTGTTGAATATGGTTTTATATAGAACCCTTTTCAAAAAGGGTTCTTCTAGTATTACAACCTTGACATCATAACAATAGAAGAACCCTTTTAGGTTCTATATTGAACCCTCTTCAAAAAGGTTCTATCTAGAACCAATTAAAGCACATTTTCCATTAATCTAAAGAATGTTCTCTAAAGAAAGTTTTATATAGAACCATTTTCTTTACTTCACCAAAGTTGACTTATGAATGTTTGATGAATAATAAGGCTTGGACACTGTAATCCTTCTGAAGTACTATTCTGGCATACTTATACATGTTCACATTTTGATATAGTCAACATATTAAGAGCAGAAGTATGGTATGATGGTTTCAGCTCTACTAAACCTAGTCATTGATCAGATGAACAGAATCAGATGTGTTAGAACGGGAAAATCACCAAACTGCTGGAATCCAGCCCTTCAGGAACCAAGCTGAGTTCTCTGGAGTAGCCTAACCTCATAATAACTGAAATTATGAGCTTCCAGATGGGAAATAAATGATCATGTACCTTATTAATTTTAGTCATAAATCAGCCAGACACTTGCCCAATGAAACATAATCTGAGATTAAAACTTGTGGTGGTGTTATAATGGCTGGCTTGGAGTTCAGGCTTGAAGAATTCATAATGGTTTTACACTTTACACATTAGCTTATTAGTACCTAATCAACATGCAGTGAAGTTGCCTCTTATTTATTACACATTTCAAACCGATGAGATATGGTCAGTTCACCTTAAGAATGAAGACCTCCAAAGTAGAGTCCCTTTATTATTTACACTGAATGCCCACCAGTAAGATCTTACTACATAGAACTTGTGCTTTGTACACAATATTATGATTTAAATGTAACATAACATGGTGTAAGAAGTCCTAGTTTATTGATGAAAAGTTTCAAGGAGATATTTGGTTTTTTTTTATAGCTGTAAGAGAGCCTAATTCAGTCTCATGGTCACGTGTAGTGAACACAGTCTATGCACTGATGAGAAAAGAACAGTTGTTGGCTTACTAAGCTTGTGAAAGTAGCCAAATAGGCCATTTCTGTTTGCCAGACCTGCCATATTAAAAACACTAGGACTCTTGGATTTTAAACTAAATGGAGTGTTATCTGAAGTTGCTATTTCTTTTAACTTCTAACAAAATAAGCATTTATCCACACTACTTCAATATATTCCAATGAATTTGTTCAGACGCTTGTATCTTTATCTCTTTCTGCTTTATCTTTTCACCTTTATCTTTTATTCATTTGAGTTATTTGTGTGTAGTGTAAAATACTGCAAACCTTGTTCAGACGGTTTTCAAACCTCTATACTGTCTCAGTTATTTGCAAGAACCTCCTCATATACCAGTGGTTACACACCAACCAAGATTTTTACCTAGAACCATATGTCCAATCCAAGAACCCTTCAGGAACCGTTATTTTTAAATAACACATTTACAATACTTACTATCCACAGCACATATACATTGTTGGAGGGCGGTTACCTTAAAATCTCATGATTGCTTAAACTTTAAAAAGGTTCTTTTCTCATTTGCAATAACAGTGCTTTAAAGTACCATCCACAGGAAGGTTCAACAGGGGAACCAAAATAGGTTCTTGTATGGCATCACTCAAGAACCCTATTTGACCCCTTTATTTTTAAGAGTGCAGGAGATCATGATGATTACTCCAACTGAAAGACTGGTTCATTACTGTTCACAGACTCTGCAATTCATGCTAAAGCAACAGGCTTTTTGTTTTGTATACTCTTAAAAAGATGGTTCTTCAAGGGTTCTGTAGTAAAGACAATGGTTCTATGTAGAATGATGAACTCTCTTACTACTATTTACATGCTTAAATGGTTCTTGTATGGTGAAATCATTCTTCAGATTAATGGAGAACTTGTTGTTTATGGTTCTTTATGGTACCTTTTTAAAAGTGGCTCTATATAGCACCAAAAAGCGTTCTTCTATTGTTACAAGCTCAGTATTGTAACCATAGCAGAACTGTTTTTGGTATATAGAACCATATATAACACATTCTTCATCAATCTGAAGAACCATTTCACCATGCAAAAAACCCTATAAGCATGCAAATGGGTTCATGGTTCCACATAGAATTGTCTTTACTAAAGAACCCTTGAAGAACCTTTTTTCAGGAGTGTATAGGTGACTGGAAAAGGACTCATTGCACTCCCTGCTCAGTGTCATCCTTGAAAATTCAGCCTAGGCTCATTTGTTGCGTGACAACATATCACTACTCTCTATCTTTTCACTTGAATAGTGACTCTTTGAAAGTCAACTCTTTTGAAAGCGCTGAGGTGAAATCGAAATACTGTATGTTGACAGAAATAGCATCTGTTGCCATGGTGCAAAAGCACAGGAGAAGTGATCTTCTCCCATCTCCCCTCCATTAGCACAGCCCCTTTACCCAATCAGGAGGCTATAATTAGAAATCAGTAATGGAGGTCAGGAACGCTGGGAAGTGCTTGATCAACCTAGTGCTGGTCTTGACTGACGCAGTCACAATGAATAGAGTAAGGGTGTC